TCCGCGACAGCCTGTCCGCGACTGTGCAGGGTCTGGCCGCGGGCGTCTGTGCTTGGCGCGCATTTGAGGCAGCCGCCGAGGCCAGCGAGGCGGCGATTCGCGACGTTGAGGCTCGTCTCCGAATCACGAGCCTGCCATTGGCTGACAATTTCGACCAATTAGCGCGGACTGGCCGCCAATTGGCCCGCTTAGCCCGCGCTCTCACGAGCCCTCATTCGTCGGACAGCGCCTCGTCCGCAGAGGACGAGGCGGAGGAGGACGAGGCAGAGGCGGAGGCGGCTGCAGCTGCGGGTGCCGGCGGCCTCGGGAGGCGGGCGGTGAGAGAAGTCGAGCGGTTGGCGGAGACGGCGCGAGGTCTGCCGCTGACTGCCTCGGAGGCTGGCGCGCCCGAGGCGCAGGAGCGCCTGCCCGGTGGGCTGGCGACGGCCGTGCAGACGATTTCGAGGCAGCAGGAGCGCCTGAGGAGCGCGGCGCGACAGGCGAGTGCGCAGGCAGAGGCGTGGCTGCGAGCGGGTGAGGCGGGCGCCGACCTCGAGGCCGGCTTGTCTGGCCTGGAGGCGCGCGTGGCCCGCCTGGGAGACCGGCTGTCCGGGCTGGAGGCGGAGGCGCTGGCACCGGAGACAGAGGGCCTTACTGACTGTCTGTCCGGAGTGGCGAGTGTGCTCGGAGAGGGCGAGTGTGTGCGGCGTGCGGCGTGTGAGTTGCGCTCGGTCAGTCTGCAAACGGCGCCGGCGGCCACGCCTCTCGGGCGGCAGGCGGTGCACGAGCGGCTGGCGCGCGTGCACGCCGCCTGGGAGGCGTGCGAGGCGGCCGCGGGCCGGCTGCGTCAGGGACTGAAGGAGCGGCTCGCTGATTGGTCCGGCCAGCAGGCCAGGCTGGACGCCTTCGCCGATTGGCTGACTGGCAGTGCCGCCAGTGAGGAGGCATGGCTGCGCGACGGCGACGCCGGCGTCTGGAGGCCGGCGGGCCGGCGGGCCGCCGAAGAGGGCGAGGAGGCGGCCGACCTGCTCGCCCGCCTAGCGGCTGACTCGCAGGCGGCCGGCGAGCGCCTCCGCCTTTGTCTGGCCGGCGTGGAGGCGCGCAGCGCCGACCTGGACCGTCTGCGCGCACGCCTTGTCGGCGCCGCGGGCCCGGCCGACCGGTTCGTCGAGTTGACGACCGGACACGCCGCGTTGCAGCGCCGCCTGGCCGACATGTTGGCCGAGCTGGAGGTGCACCGTCGCCTTGTGGCGCGGTTGACCAGCGACTGGGACGTCTGCTT